AAAACAGCAGAGGCTCAAACAATTGTCACCCATAGGGGCGCATTTAAATGCAACCGCCTCCAATTCGGAGTCAGTACAGCCCCAGGCATCTTCCAATCTATGATGGAATGCCTTCTCCAAGGCATTCCAGGGGTGGTGACCTACTTTGATGATGTCTTAATCTCCGGGCATTCCAAAACCCAACTAATTGAGCGACTCAGGCTTGTCCTGCAGCGGTTCAAGGCAAAGGGTTTAAGAGTCAGGAGAGATAAGTGCATCATTGAAGTCCAGGAGGTCGAGTTCCTGGGCTATCTCATTGATGGCACGGGCATCCACCCCACCAAAAACAAGGTCAAAGCAATTCATGAAGTTCCAAGCCCCAAAAACAAAGCAGAGCTTCAGGCTTTCTTAGGATTACTGAATTTTTATAGTGTTTTCCTAAAGCAGAAAACCACGACTGCTGAGCCACTCCATCGCCTATTGGGGAAAGCGGCGCCCTGGAAATGGGAGGAGGAAGAGGAAGCAGCATTCAAAGCCATCAGAGGACTGCTCTCTTCAGACAGCGTGCTCATCCAATACCACGAGACGCTTCCCCTGATGTTGACTTGCGACGCCTCACCCTACGGAGTCGGTACGGTGCTCAGCCACGAACTTCCAAATGGCACAGAAGCACCCATCGCTTATTTTTCTAAAACAATGTCCAGCACTGAACACAATTACAGCCAGCTGGACAAGGAAGCCTTGGCCTTCGTCACGGGCATCAAGCCCTTCCACGAATATCTATATGGCAGGAGGTTCATCATCATCACGGATCACAAGCTGCAGCTAGGTGTACTTGTGGGGGATAAACCGACACCAACTTACATGTCCCGCAGGATGACGCGATGGGCAATTTTCCTAGCCGGGTACTCATACAGACTGATCCATAGACCCAGCAAAACCATAGGAAACGCGGATGCCCTGAGCAGATGCCCTTCCAAAGAGCCGGTGGAAGACCCAGCCCCCACACTCGGGCTCTTCCACATAGACCACGACCAAGCCTGCCCAATAACCTCCGCGGACGTGGCAGCCCATACCCAGAAGGACAAAACCCTCAAACAAGTGACATCATGGGTTCTGCGGGGCTGGCCCACGGGAAAGACAGCAGAAATCTTCAGCCCATTCACCAGGAAGCAGCAAGAGCTATCCACTATGAAGGGCTGCCTCCTCTGGGGTGACAAAGTGGTGATACCCAGTGCCCTGCAATGGAAGACACTGGAAACCCTCCACAATGGGCACCCAGACATAGTAAGGATGAAGGGGCTGGCATGAAGTTACGTCTGGTGGCCAACCCTGGATAAAGACATCGAAGAATGGGTCTCCAGATGCAACCCGTGCTAGGAGGTATGACCTGCGCCTCCCCATGCCCAGCCGTCGGAGTGGGAGACGCCCAGCAACCCCTGGTCAAGAATCCATATTGACTTCGCGGGTCCGATGCAAGGGAAGTACCTCCTGATAGTTGTGGATGCGTTCTCGAAGTGGCTGGAGGTAGTTCCCATGGCAACAACCACAATGGAAGCAACAACCAGGGCGCTCCGGAGGCTTTTCGCAACCCACGGGCTACTGGATGTGCTAGTTTCCGACAATGGGCCCCAGCTTACGTCCAAGCCCATGGAAACATTCCTGGCAGGCCTGGGCATGCGTCATGCCCTGACGGCACCCTACAGACTGGCTGGTAATGGGCAGGCGGAAAGAATGGTGAGGCTCACCAAGGAAGCACTCACCAAGATGGGCACGGCCGACTGGCAAGAGAGAATAGACCAGTTCCTCCTCACTCAGGACATCATGCCACATGCCACCACTCACAAGAGCTGTTGATGGGCAGAAGGCTGAGTTCACTTCTGGATCGACTGCACCCTCAGTACAACTCGGAGGTGCCACCAAACACCAGCTGCCCACTTCGCGCCTTCACCATAGGAGACCCGGTATTTGCATTGAATTTCCATGGGTCTCCGAAATGGCTGAAGGGGAAGTTAGAGAGCATAACTGGCCCAAAGTCCTACAGAGTGGAGCTGGAAGACAGACAGGTCTGTAGACGTCACATCGACCAGCTCCGGAAAAGGTGGAAGGAAGTAGGACGGAACCAACCTGACGAGGTAGGCCTGCAACACCCTGACGAGGTAGGCCTGCAACACCCTGACGAGGTAGGCCTGCAACACCCCGTCGAGATAGACCTGCAACACCCCGACGAGGTAGGCCTACACCACCCTGGCGAAGCGGGCCATCGGTGTTCCACGGGGTAGACCAGCGACATCCTGAGGGGGAAGAACCGCAACACCCCAGCGAGGCCAGCATTCACCCGCCCGGGAAGGGAGACCTTCTCCGCTACAAGGGAGTAGACTGGGGATGACCACAGAAGGGAGACCTGCAACCCCCCCAGCGAGACCAGCCTATGCCACCCTGGCGAGGGAGACCTCCACCACCACACGGCAGTAGACCGGGGACATCAGGAGAGGGGAGGCTGGAAACGCTCCAGCGAGGTCGACCTGCGCCACCCCAGCGAGGGAGACCTCCGCCACCGCGTTGAGGCAGACCAACAACACCTCGGCGAAGGCAGTCACCATCACCCAGGCGAGGGAGGCCTCCACCACCCCGGCAAGGGGGCCTGTGACAGCCCTGCAAGGGGGAAGGATGACCCCCCGGCGGAGACGACCAGCAACAACAACAGCAACAATAACATCAATAACAACAGCAACAACAACAACAACAAACACAACAACAACAACAGCAAAGGGAGCCGAGAACCCAACCAGACCCCTCCACCTCACAAGCCACCAAGCCAAGAGGAAAAACCAGGGTCTTACTGGGTTTCAGCCATTCCCCACCAACCAGCGGCAATGGCCAGCCGTGAGGCACCCGACACCCAGGACAGGGAGAAGACCAGCGTCACCAGCAAGATGAAGTGTGAGACCCAGCCAGAGGTGCTGGGACAGGGCCCGTACACTCGACGGCCGACCCCCGGTTGGTTCCAAGGTGGGAACTGGGGGAAACAGGAGCTCCGCCTGCTCTGGTAGGCGGCGAAGCTCAAATGGGACTGCACAGGTCAAATAGAGCCATCAGACATCCCGCGTACCTGCACGACTACGTAACATTCATTAACTGTGATGGACGGACTACAAACTAGGAGGGGAGGGGTGTTATGTCCTTATAAGGACATCCGCTGGGGATTGGCTAATCCACCAGCGGGAAATTCGAAATGCTGTCTCTGGGCAGTGCGACTTGCCGGAGCGCTTAAAAGGAGAGCTCCGGCAGCGCAGCCGCCAGTCTTATTCTGTATGAAATAAAGTGCTGAATGGACCAACGCTGGTCGCATCTTCTTCCCCTGTGCCTGATCTAACATATTCCCTCCCCACTCTGTGGCTAGCCAGTGGTGGTATTTGCTGGTTCTCCGAACTACTCAAAATTTACGCTATCGGTTCTCCAAACTGCTCAAAATTTCTGCTCCAGAACCTGCTGGATTTCACCCCTGGCTAACACCCTAGAAGATAGGCTCAAAATCCAGATGGATCTTGACAGACTTGAACACTGGGCCCTATCTAACAAAATGAAATTCAGTGTAGAGAAAAGTAAAGTCCTACACTTAGGTAAGAAAAACCAAAAGCACACATATAAACTGGGGGAAACCAGGCTTAATAGCAGTGACTGTGAGAGGGAGCTTGGAGTCTTAGTGGACAACCAGTTAAATATGAGCCAGCAGTGTGCAGTGGCAGACAAAAAAGCCAATGCAATCTTAAACTGCATTAACAGAGGGATGCAATCAAGCTCAAGTGAGGTGTTAATACCACTTTATAAAGTCCTGGAGGCTAAAACATATGAAGAATGGTTGCACGAACTGGGCATGGCTAATCTAGTGAAGAGAAGGACCAGGGGAGACATGATAACCATCTTCCAATACTTGAGGGGCTGCCACAGAGAGGAGGGGTCAAGCTGTTTTCCAAAGCACCTGAAGGCCAGACAAGGAATAATGGATGGAAATTGATCAAGGAAAGATTCAACCTAGAAATGAGGAGGAACTTTCTGACAGAGAGAACAATCAACCCATGGAACAGCTTGCTTTCGGAAGTTGTGGGAGCTTCATCACTTGAGACTTTCAAGAAAAGACTGGACTGCCATTTGTGAGAAATAGTGTAGGTCTCCTGCTTGAGCAGGGCAGGGGGGGGGAGGGTTGGACTAGATGACCTATAAGGTCCCTTCCAACTCTGTTAATCTGTCTGAACCCCAAATAAAGACCTCCCTTTCAGCAACTGGCTTCGCAGCTTCATTTGATTGTGACAACTTTTGCTCTCCCAGCTGGGTGAGCAAGCCTGATTTCTTCCAACAACAGTATACTGTAATTGCATTAAGGTTCAGGTAAGCTCATCTGCCATCCTGCTTGCCTCATTACAAGCACAGTCTTTTCACCATTTCATGAGAACTGGAATAACAATGGCACTCTCAAACTGTCACCCATCCATTGCAAAGTTTATACTGTCTTGCTCCATATCCAAAATAGGTTCTTCGCTCTGCCAAAATAAACAGTACCCTGTGGTCTGTCTGCTCAACATATTCATCATATGCAAATGAATCTGCTCCAATTGGCTATTGGGTGCTGTGGTAGAAACACCCCATCTCCTCCAGGCAATAGTCACAATACTCCACATCCTGAATTACTAGGTTGTCTGTTTTCCTATCATGGGTTGTTGAAATGCAGAATCTTTTTTTTAATTAGTTCACTAGGAAACCACTTTAACAACAACAACAACAACAACAACAACAACAACAACAACAACACAGGTGGATACTTTTTCCTTTCTCCCAGGAGGCAAAACTGAATTTAAACTAACTGACAGAATGGAATATGAAACTGTTGAGTGTATGTGCTTTTTTTCTTACTGATCCACTGATAGATGTGCCAGATGGAAAGTGTCAAGTGAAAGGAAGTAGAAAATCATACAAAAGGTATATCAATGAATACTTACTCTAAGATGAATACTAAAACTTACCTGATCTGAGGTACTGGGTTTCCAGCCACCCTGCACTGAAGTAGAACCTTGCTTCCTTCAAGAATTTCTTGACTTCTGAGTTTCTGGATAAATCGAGGGGGAGATAATTGATTCAGACTTTCTTTTGCAACTTCATTTTGAGAGACAGTCTCACCAATTCGAGAGTCTTCTTTTCTTTGGCGCACACATTCTTTAACCTGAGTGACTTCTGGGATCTCATTTTTTGGTGTGATTTCTAAACTTGTTTCAAGTACTGAATTCTTTAAAGAATTTAACAAAGCTAATTGCTTGCTCTTAGGAGAAAGATATCCACTATCTGGAGACGAAGAGTTTCTATTTGGACTCTCAACTCTCATCTTGGCTGCTTCATGAAAAATAGCAGACAGTTCTTCAATCAAAGTGGCAGCTTTATCACATAGCTTATTCTTGAAGGGGACATTATTGGTCAAAACTGATTTAGATTTAGGGCTCACCTTTTGACCATTTAAACTAAACCTTTCAGCATTTTTGAGAGTTCGGATAAAGCTGGGTCTTGCAGGCAGTAGGGGAAAAGCATTTGCTTGTTTACCAGTAACATCTAAAATACCATTTTTTCCTTGAGGATATGCATTCTGATCCTGCTGCTCTATGGGAGTTTGAGATGAAGGCCTTGAGCAATTTCTCTTGGAAGGATAACTGTCATGTGCTTTGGCTTGCCCAAAAGAGGCATTTTCTGGTGAGTTTGGAGAAGTGTTAAAGTAAGTATACTCTTGCTTAACTTCTTCTTCAACAGAATTAATGGATTGATGAGCAAGTTCAAGGCTTTTGTTTATCTCATCTTCACTGAGAAAGGCAGATAGTTCATGTGAAAAGTCCCCATCTTGTATATCTGATAGGGAATCATAAAAGAGTTCATAACATGATGAATCCTCAGAATTGTTTTCATAGTTTCCAACATAAGTGCTTTTCTCAAAAGGATGAGGCTCTTTCATAATTACAGAGAGAGGGATAGGCTGCTCACAACTTCTGTCCTGCATGCTGGAACAAAAAATGAAATTTTTTCTCAGAAAGAACTGGGATTTTATCTTTGTATCCTAGAAAGCAGCCAGAGACTTCCTGCAAAAAGAAGTGTATAACAAAATGCATATTTTACATATTGTTATATTTTTTTAATGAACTTTTAGAATTTAAAATTTTTAAATTAGATTTTCTTCTAAATCTGTGGTTAAATCTTTTACATTTTGAACATTTATAACCTTTACAAATTTTAATCCTTAAATGAGCTAGCAAAAAGAAACATAGTCATGAAAAAAGAGACTGCACTGTTGTCATGTATATATTTATATCCATACAAGACCCAAATTACACATGTACCAAATGTAAACTAAATGAATTGCAGGTAGTCCTCGACTTACAACAGTTCATTAAGTGACCAAAGTTACAACAGGACTGAATAAAAGTGACTTATGACCATTTTTAACACTTAGGACCATTGCAGTACCCCTATGGTCATGTGATCAAAATTTGGATCTTGGCATTCATATTTATGATGGTTGCAATGTCCTGGGGTCATGTGAACAGCTTTTGCAAATTTTTGATGAGCAAAATCAATGGGGAAGCCAGATTCACTTAACAACTGTGTTACTAACTTAAGAACCACAATGGTACACTTAACAACTGTGGCTAGAAAGGTCGTAAAATGGGGCAAAACTCACTTAACAAATGTCTCACTTAACAACATAAATTTTGGGCTCAATTGTGGTCATTAGTCAAGGACTATCTGTACTGGAAGAGAAAGTAAAGGGTCTAGAGCAAGAGTGTCAAACTCATGTCATGGCATTGTCACATGACATATCAGGACTTTTTTCCCTTTCACTAAACTGAGTGTGGGTGTGGCCAGCATGTAATGCATCCGGCCTGCAGGCCAGGAGTTTGACAGCCCTGGTCTAGAGGAAACTCTAGCAATTCTAAAACTCAACCTACAAAATGAGAAACTCCAATTGAAACAAGAAGACTATATCCAAATTGAATATAATAACGAAACAAAAAACTTCTAAAAAAATTGACCCTGTACATAAACCTTAGTGTCAACTCTGAATTGAACCTGGCTGAAGCCATCTTGTACTGCTTTATAATTGCCACATAATATGAGGGGGAGGATGAGGGGGAAATAGCTCAATCTGGAGCCACTCTCCAGGGTCCTGAGCCCCAGCTGCCCGGCTTTCAAGGGGGCAGAGAAGAATCAGGGAAGACCAAGAAGATGGTGAAGGAGTGAGAGGGGCCCAACAGTGCCAGTCCGGTCTCTACTGAGAGCCAACAAACCATGATCCCACTTGAGGAGGATGCACTCTCAGAGGGGATCCAGCTGAAGGTCCAGAAGGAGGCACCAGAGACCTGTACTGAGCCGAGGAGGATCTCAGACACAAGGCCTCAGCCTAGGGATTTGGAGTGGGATTCCTGTTGACATCCACACAGGACTTGATTGCTCTCACTCCATGCTGGAGGGCGAGGAGACCCATCGAGTTGGATGAATCAGGGGAATGGTGATACCTGATGGCCCTCCCTGGCCAGACGGTAGAGAACCTGTGGGAGAGGTTCGACCAGATGAGCATCAAGGGAATGAGACAGGTGTGCCAGTTCTAACCGCCCAAAGTGATCCTTAGCTGGCCCACCCTATCATTTCCACCCTGCCATGGCTGAAGTCCAGCTGCGGCAGCCTGGTCGGCTAGCCCGCCCCTGGTGCTGTCAGCAAGGTCAAGCCCGGGGCTGCAATTTTTTTTTAAATTTGATTTATATGCTGCCCTTCTCCAGAGACTCAGGGCGGCTTACAATGCGTTAAGCAATAGCCTTCATACTTTTGTATATTTATACAAAGTCAGCTTATTGCCCCCACAAACTGGGTCCTCAATTTACCTACCTTAGAAAGGATGGAAGGCTGAGTCAACCTTGAGCCTGGTGAGATTCGAACTTACAGTAATTGCAGACAGCTGGTGTTAATCACAATGCTATCAGTCTGCTGAGCCACCAGACCCTGCAATGAAATCTTCTGAGCCAGTGACAGGTGGTAAGCTTACCTGGCCACCCACACAACCCTCTGGGGTGGCAGGGACCCCCACCATGGCCGTACTACCCCAGAGCTGGCTGGTTCCTGGGGCAATGGCCTCCAGTTTGGGCACCACCACAACCTCCTTCTCCTTGGCTAGCAGCCCCTCCCCCAATGAAGGCAATGTTCAACGGAGATCCAGAGAAGCTTGCATTCTTTCTAAATCAAGTGCAGGCTCACCTGGATGACCACGCACCAGACTACCCAAGCAACCAGGTGATGGTTCAGACAGTGACCGCAAATCTGGAGGGGGAGGCAACAGAGTGGGTGCCCAGCTCTATGTCGAGGGTGCACCAGAGCTGGGAAACATCAGAATCTTCCTTCAAGAATTGAGGGCTAGGTTTGAAGATGATTCCCAGGCCCTACAGGCCAAAATAGAAATCTGAGAGCTCAAGCAGAGGACAGACCCACCAAGGAGTATGTCCAGGAATTTTGGAGAGTGTTTAGCAAGCTGTGGGAGTGGCCGGAGAGACTACTGGTCTACTTCTTTAAGGAGGGCCTGGATCATGAGCTACTTCATGTGTGCATCTACAGAGGAGTCCCTGATCAGATCCATGAGTGGCATTGGATGATGGTGGCAATGGACCTCGAACTTAAGTAGTACAAGAAGTGTGGTGCCGCAGAGCAAAAACTGAAGGCCAGCCAGGAGAAGTGCCAACTTGGCAAGCAATCAACTTCTGGACAAGCCACAGACCCCTCCAGTGGAGCCTCGGAACTGCCCATCAAGTGCTTCCATTGTGGCCAGCAAGGGCATCGAGCACTCGAGTGTGTAGCCTCAGCCCCCCAGCTGAGGGGAAAACCACCAGATGCCACCAAATTGAAGAAGCTCCAATGAAAGGTGAGAGAGAAGGGGAAGCTTGCTCTCCAAGCCATTGAAGTCTCTCCTCCCCCTCCTGAGGGAGGGAGAACTCTGGCCCAAGACATCCAGCAGTCTGCTCCCTACAACAGCAAAAAGGAGGCTGAGGATGAACTGATGGTAAGTGAGGCCATCCACCCCTTCACCCTCTCCATGAGACTCGTAGTGCCAAAATCCAGGGCCCAGGGGCTGTGGATGCCTTAATAGATTCAGGCTGCACCCACTGCCTAACCAGTTTGCAGACAGTTCTGAAACTGGGCATCAGAGCTAAAAAGTTACCCCAACCCATGAGGTTTGAGCAGATTGACAGATCATTGATAGAGGGAGTCCCCACCACATTCCTTACTGAACCAATAAGGCTATATCCTAAATCCCAATACTGGGACCTAAAGGAGGTTTTCAGCAAGGCAGAATGCAATGCACTACCCTATTGACTGCGCAATTGAGATCCTGCCCGGTGCCAAACTATCCAACCCAAAACTATACTCTATGACCCCTAGAGAAATGAAGGAACTAAGAGAATACATTGATAAGAACCTGGCAAGAAGGTTCATACAGTCAGCGAAGTCATAAGTAGCCATGCTAGTATAGTTTAAAGAAAAGAAAGATGGAACGATGAGATTGTCCATAGACTTTAGAGAGATTAATGCCATATGCATGGAAAATATGTACCAACTCCTCCGAATAAAGGGCATGCTGGCCCACCTAGCAAAAAGAAAAATCTTTACCAAATTAGATCTGCATGAGGCATACTACCAGGTGCAGATTAAAGGGGGGGGTGCCTGGAAAATCGCATTCAACTGTCTGCTAGGAAGCTTTCAATTCAAGGTGATAACTTTTGGCCTCCAGGGAACACTGCCATGTTCATGCAATTGATCAATGAAGTACTACATGAGCACCTGTACAAGGGAGTCCTTGTATACTTAGATGACATCCTCATCTTTACTGAGACTGTTAGGAAATGATTTTACCTAACTTGTTGGGTTGGCAATATATAAACCATCATTATAGCTTTAAGATACTGCTGTATTGCTGTATTGCATCATACTGTGTCCTGATTGGTTAGCTCTGTAGCCAATGTTCTTAAGAGGGAGCTAGAAACATGGTTTGTTTCTCTTTGCTGATCGTTACTGCTCTGCTGTGTTTTGCTACTGTTTGCAAATACAAAGGACTGATTATTGTGTATGACTACAACGACTGGTAAGAAGACTTTGTTATTGGATTATCCCTGGACTATTGTTTTACTATCTACTGCTTTATACGTGTATGACCTGGACTGTTTATTGGACTGTGCCTTATTACTATTTCCTGAAAGTAAACACAACTCAGTGTATCTGTGTATTGGCTGTGTTATTTCGTAACTACTCTCAATCACTTTCATGTGCACACCCTTGCTACTCAAGGGTTGCTCTGCAAATTCCTTAACAAAGACCATGGAAGAGCATATTAAATTGGTTTGCCAGGTGCTCAAGAAGCTGCTAGCGGCAAACCTGTATGCCAAACTGTCCAAATGCGAATTCCACAAGACCAGCCTAGACTATCTAGGATACCAAGTGTCCAGTGAGGGTGTTGAGATGGACCCAGGGAAAGTCAGACCTGTCCTGGAGTGGCAACCTCCTCAAACCCACAAGCAACTCCAAAGCTTTCTTGGGTTTGCAAACTTCTATTGGCAGTTTCTTCCCTCTTTTGCTGAGATCACCCTCCCAAACATCAAACTACTAAAAACAGGAGGGGGAGGGGTGAAACCCCAACCAAGCCAGCCCCTACAATGGACACTCAAATGCCAAGCAGCTTTTGAGACCCTCAAAAGACCCTTTGCTGAAGAGCCGATTCTCAAGTACCAGGACCCAAAGCGGCTATTCACCATCCAGGCAGATGCCAGCAACATGGCAGTGCCTGCGGTCCTCCTAAAAAAATGTGGAGGGGGATTTGCAGCTCTATGCATACACCTCCCGCAAGCTCACTGAGACTGAAAGAAGGTGGGCAGTGTGGGAGAAGGAAGCATACTCAGCCCAGTAGGTACTGCTTACATGGCGCCATTTCCTTAAAGGAGCCAAAATGCCATTTGAAATATATACTGACCATAAAAATCTGGAGGCGCTTGGGACCCCATGGAAACTGTTGCCTAAGGAAGTCCAGTGGGTCCAATACTTCAAC